ATTTCTTAATTGCTGCAATGACCGATCGCCTCGATTACTCGCGAAAGGTAGCGGAGTCGTGGAGTTAGGAGGGACAGCAGGTGATATACTCCCCTTGTTTATTATTTCGTTGCTGCACGTGTTTTCAACGTTTACGACCCGCGATCCGGCTGCGCGCGCTATTTGCTCAATGTACCGAAACTAAATGTTTTGCTTTGACGCGGAGATTGAAACGAACAAAAGTTTTGCAGTCTCTGTCGAAACTGCTATCATCTTTGTTTATGAATGGCTCCTCACATTTTCGTCGGACTTCATCGTCAGAATTACAATTTGCCGACGATTCGAAAGCGAAGAAGCATCGGCGTAAACGCTTTTACGACCACTTAACATTTTAGAACGAGCTATTCCGAACACCGTTCGTCTTATCTCAAGATGGTAAGGTTCGTACATTAAATCTCCAAACTTGAGATACAATCATTTCACAATAAAAATGAAAGTTTTAAAGGACCGAGTCGCGAAAGAGTGATGATAAAACTCTATTCTCTATGATATTTATTTGATTTATACATTTTACACATTTCAATCGTTTTAATTTGGAATAAACTAATGGTAGCGATTTGCCGGAAATTTTGACAGAAATTAATACTAAGTATTTTGTATCAGGAAAAATCAACGTAATTTATTTATTACTAACATAGACGCATAGACGCGATATAATAGTATAGGTAAGTATGAACTCTATGTATAAAAGACACACTAGGGTGATGGATCGAAAAATTAAATTGCCTTGCTCAGTTATGCTATTAGTAATTTATTTTCAATTTTTATTTCTTTATGAACTAAAAACATATATTTGTTAAGCAATAAATTAAAAAAAAAATAAAAAAATTAATTTTTGGATGAAATATTGCAAAATAAATATGTTCTTGTCGTAAAAAAGCTTATTGTCAATAAGATTTCGTGGTTTCCAAGCGTCTGATGTAAATATAATTTTGGCGGCATTTTAACTCTTAATTATGTCGTGATCGTGACTTTTTTAAAAATGAAATAATTGTTAACGAAATGATGGTCATTAAAGTTAATGGTTAATTATCTCAGTTGAAATTTACACAAGCGATAAATGGAAAGTACTGATTAAATTAATGAAATAAAAAAGTGCAGATAACTTTCAAGTCACATGTTGTTATAGAAGATTAAAAAACACTGCCTGCATTATTTGTCACCGTAGCCTTGAAACTAATCAATTATGATGCATTTTTAACGACGCTGTAATTACGACGCGTCGACGTAGTTCGATGACAGAGGCGTTGCCTTTCCGAACAAAGAGACAATTCCAGGCCTTGTTCACGATATACCAAATCATCAACTGCGCATATGATCCCGCACTCGTTATCCGAGTCGCGTGTTAATGTCGATATTTTTACGTTCTGCCGATTGTAAAACGCAGGCCCGAGTGCGAGCAATCAAGGCTACCAAACGACTCTATATAGAGTTGAGCGTAAACTGTCGTAAAACGAGCAATTTTCAATATTTTTTCGAATTACGTTGAGGCGGCGCAAATTACAGGCGGCGCGTCTCGCGAGGCTAAAGGCATTTCTAAAATAGAAATAGCGACGAACGGCGGTAATAAGTCTGAGGTGCACGAGGATGCGGAAAAAGGCGCGCGCTAGGAAGCGATTCGATGCGACGTGAGTGCATTCTTGAAACGTGGGAGCGACTCCCGGCGCGCTGCAATAAAAGGCTATACAGGGTGTCTCCGGCGTCGCATACTTTTTCCCTAAGCTATACACGGAAAGAATGGTTTCGCCGAAGAATAATATAAAAATTAAACCAGATACAGATCTGAAAATAATTATGTTGAACCATCTCAAAATAATTATGTTGGACGTTCGGGCGTGATAATATTGCGAAAGTTTTAACGCTCTAGCAACCAAGCTAGAATCCAATATAATTATTTAGTTGGTTCAACATAATTATTTTCAGATCCGTTATCTATCTTAGTTTTTTAATACTTTAGCAAAATCGTTTTTTCCATGCGAAGTATATAAAAATTATGCAGCACAGATATAAAAATAATTACCAACGAGTTGAACAATTTGAAATTGCAAACAATTGTAATTTTACACAGGTTTACGAGTGTCGCGCGAGAGGTGAACGTGTAATTGACAATGAGATGTGAAAGCTATATTCTGTCGAACTTTTCAAATTTAATTCCCTCTTTCAGCTGTCAAACCGTCAGGCGGAGCTCATTGTTGAAATGAATTTTAACAACCGGCGACGTTCGCTCGCGAGTCGGAAGGAAGCGTGACCCCTCGGCACACCCTGTACACGCCGAGCGCTAGGAGCGCGTGTCGGGCGTATATATGACGACCCGCCCCGCTCTCCCGCGTTGAGCGATTAAAAGTTCAACGAACCGCGGCGGGCGATTCGCGGTATGATTGTCTCTCTCCCTTCATTGATCACCGCGTCATGATGACCGGTTGGCTCGGTCGTCGATGAGTCAGACGGTGCAGTTCCCCGCGTAGCGCGGTTCCCGGTATATCCGACGAGGCTTCGGAAAAGTCGATCTCGTGCAGACACGCGGAGACGCGCCGCCCCGCCGCGCCGCCGAGGATTGCGTTAATTATCGTCGAGAAAGTACCGTTCGCGCAATATGTATCCTCGCACGCGAAGCGTAAACCGCGCGCGCGTTATCCGCGTCGCTCGCCATCAATTCCATTCGGCGTTCTTTCTTTCCCAACGGGGCTTCTTCTGGAAACGCGGAGATCCGACTCATCCGACCGACCGATTCGCTTCACTCTCATCAGTCAGGCATTAGACGCCTGTCCTCCGTTGATGGACTTTCGCGAATAGGCACAAAACGACAAAACTATAATTTATATGTGGTGAAAGCGCTGTGCGTGCGAACTTACTTTTTTCTTTTATCTATAACGAGCGTCCACTGCGTCCACTACATCCTTCAACGACGCTTCCGACCACGATTATCGTCAGATTGCTTGTATTTATGTGTGCAGTAAAAAAACGATGTATATATTTGCGACCTTTACTTTAGTATGTCACGATACAATAACATAATTCAGTATTTTTTCGAATCGCAAACAGCAAACAGCGTGAAATATTGCAACAGATAGTTATATAATAAAATTATCGCGATAGCATTGGTAAACTAAAAAAATATAATAATTGTCATTTAGTACGATAATTAACGTCTGCACTGTAAAATATTAAAGGATGAAATTTAAATTAATACTTTCAGTTAAATAACACTTTTAACTACTATATATATATATCGAATATATCGAAATTTATTATTTTAATCTTATTAGTTTAATTAAGTTGACGTTGTTTTAGTTAAATTAATGACATTGATTAGGAGCAGTGGCGATTTATAGAATTAGGGTTAAAATTACTCAGATTGAGTATAATTAGCCACTACGAATTTAATAGTGTAGTTTAATTCTTAAAATCCAACGATTGCTCGCGAGCTGCACAAGTTTTTTCCTCGCGGCACGTTATTAGCTCTATTAGCCGTAAAGTCCTACTCCGTAATTGATTAGTGTTGCAACTTGTGATTAACTCTCCCGTAAGTGGCGCAGGGAAATAACTCTTGGAATACCATTAACACATATAACGTTATAGTTATTGTTTCGCATTGCGAGTCTCACATGGTCTCGCGAAACGAAGATTCCGGCGCTATTGTTTTTAAGCGTCCTCCCCCTCGGGATGTCTCGCGTGCGCGCTCTTAAAATTTCTCACCGGCTAACAAGGGCGATTTTTCTTAATTCACGTGTAGAAATTATGATTATACTTAACCTTCCGGTAGTCGCACCTCGATCTTTCGCATCTGACAAGAGAACGCGCACGAATATACGTGACGACATGTCTCATCAAGGCGGTACACGTCGTATTTTATCCACGTATTTTATAATGGTCGGAAACGAGAAAATCTCCTCGACGACCTACGCTCTTGTTAGAGAACACGTTGCGAATAATATTTGAAATAAAATTCAATAAAGACGCGTAGTTCGAGATTTCTCGGGAGAGTCGGAACTGGTCGGAACTCCGTCAATTAAATCGTGACTCGCATCTTTCATTAAATTCACCTGCAGTTTAATTTAACGCGACGGGTATTCTCGTTCGTTAAGTTTTATTGAAAACGAGGGAAAGTTCTTCGTATACTTGAAATTAAAAACTCAGTTTTTTTTTGCTTTCGGGATACGCATACGAATTAGTTTCCCTCGCTGTTATTCCGGAGCGTCTTGGTACATAGAGAGTAGACACAGACGGCGGCGACTTTGTTAATTCGTGGAGTCGAACGTGAGTGGAATGACAGAGAGAGAGAGAGAGAGAGAGAGCCGCCGCGCCGGCCGAGTAATTGTATACAATTACATCATTTGTTTGCTTTCTGGCCGGCCGTGGGTCGTGAGAACGGGGTCTAACCGAGCGTTGAACGGGCGACGAATAAATTTGCGTGGACGTTAAGCGAAGTCATAACACCTGTGCGCGCACACGCGCGCCGGCGGTAATTAATCAGCCCGAGCGCGACGGCTGAAACGTCCAGCGGATTCATCGGTTCGCGAATTCCGAGTTCCTCGGATTATTTGTAGGATTATTTATGTATATATTTACTTACGTTACTCTTCGCAGGACGTTTGAGCGCCGGATAATTAGTAATGCTAATTAGCTTCGACGCTTGTTAATTTCTTGAAATTGTTAATTGGTGGCGCGTGGACATTAATCAGTGGAAGGACGCACCTTGATGGGGCGCCCGCGAAAAATTTACCTCGTCGAGGAAACGGCACGTACGATTGGGAACGTCGTCAAGATCGTTACGAATTCGTGACACTGCTGTATGCTAACGAATTGGCGATTATTCGACCGATATAACGCATCGATACGGCGTCGCGGCGACTCGTTTGCGGCGTGCACACTTAATTCGCGGTGACTAGACGATATTTTACCGAGACGGGAATACATTATTCGTTAGTGGTTTACGAGCCGTACCTAATGAAGTACGAGTATCGCGACTGTGCCACGCGATGGTTTCGCTTCGCGTCCGAACTCCTTCGAAGGAAGTGAAAAAAGAAACCGTTTCCATCAGCGGAAAGGGATACGTTGCCGGTATGTGGACGCAGTTTCCTCATTGACGGATCTGAAAAAAAGTGCGTGTTTTGTGCTCGCGTTAGCGAAATGACATCCGAGAGAAGCTGTGCCGGATTTCTTATTCGGACTTCTTATCAGTAATTTGAGAGAAGAAATCTTACGATACGCTTAATGATACAGAGCTGCTTCGAATATGATACAACGGGGATCGGTGAAAGTTGGGGAAATTGGAAAATGGTGAAAAAAAAATCGGGACGGCAATCAGAAAAGCTTGCCGCATCGACAAGTTGTTGCAAATTAGAACGTGAAATAATTCAGTCGTCAAACATATCGTGCGCAATGCAATAAAACGTAATATATATTCCGCGTGTGTACGATATGTAACGTCGCAAAATATTCAAACTTGAGCGAGTGTATTAAATGTTGGCCAACAAAGCCAGCGTTTGACGTCGCGACATTTCCCGACGACACGGTACTTACAAAGTTGCGAAAGAGGAGGCCGGGCGGTTTACGCGTCGTGGAGTTATAAAAAATGAAAGCCGAAATCGCGCGCCGTTACCGTTCGTTGCTAAACGCACCCGACGCGACGCGTCGCGCATCGCTCACTTAGCATCTTGCCGTTAATCGTCGCGGATGATTTACGAACACTTATAATGATAGTGTTGTCTCTTCTTCCTTGGATGTTAGTCGTCTCTTCATCCCGATGCGGACCAGCGAGCGAGCGAGCGATACCGCGAATGTGACACGGTCACGAATCTCAGCGACATGGCGGGCATACTTTTGCACAACCTTCTCCGATATATACGGAACGGTGAGTCAGTCGGATCAAAAGAGAAAAAGAAAGAAAGAGAGAGAGAGAGAGAGAGAGAGAGAGAGAGAGAGAGATTGGGGAAACGGCGCGACGGATTAGCTTGATGTCTGTGGGAGGCTCGAGAGTCGAGCGAGACGGTCCTGCGGCGGTCAATCGTCGAGAGAACTGCGCTTCTCTGGTTTACGACCAGAGATTTCTTGGTCGGGTCAGGCGAATCTAGGACGAGTTCATAAAGTTGCAATGAAAAACCGCCGACACACTTCGCCCGGAAATTAATCTGATCATCTCGGATGACTCTCGAGGTGTAATCGTTGGTTTAAATCAGGTAGTGGTCAACGTAGATATCGCGCGAGTCAACCACGCGTACACGATTCTTTCAAGCACTTGGTTCATATCGCACTTGGTTCATATCGCAAATACTTGCGACGTGGAAATAATATACGCTAGCATAATATAGGAAATATAGATTGATTTTTAATAAATTATGTATAAAACGCATGTATATTTTTTAATTAGAATGTGTGAGTTAATTGTAATAAAATGAAAATTGTAGCTTTTCTGATAGCATTGGTGATATATTTGTTTTTTATATTATTATTACTATTATTTTTTAGCTATATTGAATGAGGAAAAATTTCCGTCCTTGAACGGTGCATCGCTCGTTTAATATCAATTAACGGAAGCGCTCTTTATCGTTGCAGGTGTAAATCGTCGCAAAATGGCGTCCAACGAGGATGGCGATCTGATCGATCTTGGAAACGATGCGTGCGTACCGCGGGTCACAGTGGACGATGCAACGCCCGACGAACAGGAGCATCTGCTGGACGTATGTCCCCCGAAATTGGAGCAGAAACTCTCCCTCACCCGTCAGCAAGAGCGAGTGCTGAACAGCATCGATAAGGGTGACATCTTGGTGACCTTGGGCCACGATCAAGTGGTACCGATCCGCAAAAGGATCGACGTGGTCTCGTCAGACACGATCAAGCGGGTGCGCGACATCACTAGGAATTTAGAGCCGGTTATACGCAAGACTTGCTCGGACATCAACGAGGAGGCTCAACAGGATACGGTGGACCACGCGACGATATCGAGCTGCGAAAGAACGAGGGGAGCCTCGACGGCGAGACACGAGGACGAGACATACGAGACGCGAGAAATAAACGACGCTTTCGATTTCCTCGCCGAGCACGACGACAACGAAGACCAAGCGGAAACGAGCTGCGGTCGCGCGAGGAACGAGAACGTCGACCCGAATCGCACGACATCCTCCGTGCGTCTCTCAATCGGGGGGAAAGAGGATAGGGTCAGTTACCCCTTCGAGTCGTCGTCCAGGACCTCGAACGAGGAAGCGAACGGTAGAAGCGACGTGGAGGAGACGAAAGGCGCCGTCACGCCGAGCGAGTACAATGTCCAGCCGGACGACGATCCGGTCTACAAATCGTTGCCAAATTCGAACAAGTTTCGCGAGGACAGTTCGCCCAAGGATAGATCCGTTTCCATCGAATCGGAGCCTCGCGCGAGAGTCGTTCTCAAGAGACGCGGTCGAGAGGACGCCTTCGAGCGCGGAAGCAAAAGGCGTTCCTTTCAAGAGTCGCATCGTAAGTCGTGGACGGAAGGGACGAGCCTAAACTCAAGCCCTTTTACCGATGGGCTTCCTGGCATCGATAGATCCACCAGTCTTAAGGAATATCGCTGCGTACCGTCGGTTTCCAACGTCGATCGTGGGGCGGCCAGCTTTCTCACGAGGTACGATTGCTTCCGTTGTTACATTTTCATCCTTTTCTCACGCAAGGAGTTTTTGAACGTACTTTACGTCACGATAGAATTACGCCTGATTTTATAAGGATTACGTAATATTATCCTGTAAATTAACAATTATCGTAATATTATCTTGTAAATTAACAATTTTTTAAAGAATTTAATATTAAAGTCACACAAGAATTATTTATGAAAAAAATATCTAGTTTCAACGCAACTTTGGTGATTGTTGAAAAATAAAAATAATTAATTTTTACGGCAGATAACTTCATTAAAAATTCGACAAATCTATAGTCATCCAGTTTCTCTTATTAATTCATGCCGATTAGAAAGTATACAAGTATTTTAATCGAATTATAATCGCGTTCCCCAACTTCCCACTGCGAAGACCGTGATGTTTTTGTAAGAAATCCCTTTTTAGCTTCTCGTATTCGGCTAAAATATCTCCACCTGTCTTTGTAGCGGCTTCTCACGGTGAGCAAGCTCGTATTCTTAGACCGATGCAAGAATTCGCGTAGGTAGAATGTATTGGCAGGAAAGCGCGCTTTCGTGCCGGAAGTATTTACATAGGCTCGAGCCTAACGAGCGTGCAAACTGTTTCGATTCAGATTCGCTCGACGTCTTAGCGACGATGAGAAACGACGCGGGGTCTCGTCGATCGAAGTTAGGGACACTGACAATGAAAATGCAGATCCTCTTTGACGGCCTCAAACGCATTACGTATGCTCTACCTTTCAAGCATACCTGTTAAGCATAAGTGCAAGCTCGAGAGTTTTAGAGAGCCGCTCTCTTAGCTGATGGCAGAGCTTTGAAGCGGCTGGCGTTCTGAGGTGAACTCGAAACATTCGTTGAAAATCACTCTCGATTTTTTAATTAAAAATTTCACGCCGGATCCAGTCGTGCGCGCTTACACACGGAACACTTTTTCTTTGCCTTCTTAATTGAAGAATTGAGAGTCAGGAGACTGCTTAAATTTGAGATTTTACTCTCTCCGGAGATAGTAAAACTTTCTAACGGGCCGCGGGATCGGAACGATAGTGTGAACATTCGGAATCTAAAGGTAAACGCGTCGCTCTCGCCTGAAAAAGAAAAAAAAATTATCACGGTCAAGCCGTAGAACGGTAGAAGTAAACGACATCGTGTAAGCGAATGGATTTTCACGGATGATTTGCGCTACGGTATCGCGCGAGGCGAGCATTCGCGTAAGCGCGCGGGACATGCGATGACTCAAGAAGCCCTCCCGGTATCGAATTGAACCACGCATGGAACGCTTCGGAGGGATGGAACATTACGTATGACACGTGAAAGCGGAAAATTTTGGTCCCAGCGCGCGGTACGCAATAACGCACATTATACGAGCAATTAACGATAAACGATGCCGAGATATGAGAAGAAAAATAATCGTATTTCTATAGAATTTTAATAGCAATATATTTCCGCTATACCCTTTTTTCCGAATTGAAATAATACATGAGAATAAAATATCGTTGTTTTTGATAATAAATGAAGGAGCTGTTACCATTCTGTATATGTACGTCTACTTTTTTCTCGTGGGAGAAGGGGGAACGGAAAATTAAAATACTAATCCTCGCCACCTCGTAACGTATCGTAATTCTCTGTAATTCGCTTCCGTTTGCTCATTAACGTCGCGTTCCAGAAGCGATTCCACCTTTGTATCCGTGGTGTCTTGTAATAACAGCGAAACGGCCGCTTTTGTTCCGCGCGCATAGGAAATAATTAATAACAATAGACGGAGCGGTAGTGATACGCGCAAAGAGAGCCTTTGTCGCCCATTATAACGCGACTGCGATATCGTCGTCCGATATGGGCGCGTCGAGAAAGGGCACGACCGCGTTTAGAAAGTCACTCTCCGGATTAATCCGCGAATGAGCGTCTGAGCGAAACGCCGTGAGACTTGTCGGAGATGCGAGTTGTGAGACGAGGTGGATAAGTATACAAAGACAAGATAAAAGAACCGAGATATAACGCAATATAAAAGTAAGAATACACGGAGGAGAAAAACAAATCTCTCCTCTCCTGGAAAGGACAAGAGGTCTGTGAGCTGAAAATTCATTTGTTGAAAACACAAAGCTTTTACGACACATCAGTCGCTTTCGAAATAAATTAGATAAGTATATAAGATGTCCCATTTTATTTTTCCCAGGCGAATTACACGAAAATTGAGTCCGACAGGTAAAAAATATTTCAGATAGAAATTGTATGGTCTGGGATACAACCTTTTTGTGAAACGTTTTTGCTAAATTCAGCTCGCAGACTGAAAAGTAAAATAGGACACCCTGGGGATAAATTAGAATATAAATCCAAATGTAACGCACACGAAGATCCTCAATGTTCATACTGACAATAAGTTTTTATTTTAAGAGATATTATATCAAAGATACAGCTCTGTTTATAATTGCAATTGCAAACGGATTTATCGCGTTATTAACACCTAAATAAATCTGAAACCTATTTTACAACGTAAAGCTGCACCAGCGAGGAGATTATTTTGTACAAAAAACACGATATCCGCGTCGGAAAAAATTTTCGGGCCGATGAAGGGTTGACGACAGAACAGCGATATTGTTATCGATAGACAGACCCGCTGGGAAAGGGCATGACCGCATTTAGAAAGTCGGTCCGCGGATTGATACGCGAACCGCCGCGGGCGCTGCGAAAGCAATCGGGTCATCGGGCGCACGAACACACAACGGCCTCACCTCTCTCGCTCGTGCTTCCCCGCGTAGACACACGCGGGTTTCGAACAACAAATTTCAGTTGTTATATCGGCGAAACACTTCCCACGCGCGACTCGCGTACAATAAGGTAAGAGCCGTGCCATGTCGGTCGGACATTACGCATCCGGAAAGCCGCGCGTCGCAGTTATGCGCACTGCACCTTGTGACGAAATCTCTCAATGCCTCGCTGCACGTCTGCGATGCGAGGCAGTGTTCAAATGAAAAAAATCTGCAATTCGCAGTTCGGGAAAATTCGGAATTAATTAGGTAATTAGTACGAGATTGATGGAATAAGAAAAGGTACAGTTAATATAACTGTTGTGTAAATCGTCCATTCGCTTACAGATTTTTTAAGTATGAAATCATGTTTGTGTGTTTGCATTTTACTTTTATGCCATAAATAATAATTTAAACCTACCTTTTTTGGCGGTTCTCGGTAATGCTAAGACATTGAAAATTATCAAGCACATAACACTGCTAGATAATTTGCTAAATCTTATTATCGTAGAAAGAAATTCTGAATCGCTACGTGCCTTCTGTATAACGTCATAACCGACCGTTTTAGATTAAACGTAAGAATAAAGTAGGGAGAAAAGAAAGTACAGAGCAGGCACGAAGATTACAGTGGACAGCCTAAAATGTTCATTTAAACAAAGAGAGTAAATTCTGGACACATATAAATTAGCCATTTTGTAAAGAATATTATTTTAATATTTTGATTTTTCAAGCAGCACAATAAAGATAGCGAAAAAAACAGGTATTAATACTGTATATAGGAAACTGTAAAGCCGTTCTAAATAACTAAACGCAATTTTTTCTATGCATCTATATATATATATAATTTTTTTTTAAGAGCATATAGCGAAAGTCTATATTTTTGACGTATTTTTCTCGGAAAATGAATCCCTTCTATAAAACAAATTATTCGAATATACGTACATTTAAATAACTTATTTTACATAATATAAAATGCGCGTGCGCACGTTATCCACAAAATATAGTGCCAGTCACACTTTCTCACAATGTTCCCCTCTTGTCTCGAGGGACTTGAATCACTCTAACCACCATCTCCCCTTCACCCCCTCGGCCGCACACCTACGAACAGCTCAAATGTTCTGTGTTTCGAGGCACGAGGAGAAATTACCGAGCTTCTCCACCCACATTCCTACGATTATCCTCCCACAATTCGTAATCGCACGACGTTCCCCGTTCCCCGCCGAGACCGCGCCGAGAGTAGAAGCCACGCGGGCGGGGGGGCCCCCCCGGACGCGACACGACCAGGTACGCGCGGCTCGCGCTCCCACATGCATAGGGCGCGTAGTACGATTCACATCCTCTGTTATCCTTCGTCGTTCCCGGTGGTCGGGACGGATGTGGGGTGCGCACCAGGAATCCACGGGCCCCACGGGGATCGGCGTAGTCGGCGTAGAAATGCCTTCTGGCGCGCCGCGTTGGTTGCGCCGTGCTACAGGACATAGGTGTTCGCTCGCAGGCGTTGTGTTTCGTACCGGAAGTCACGGTGCACGGTATGGGGGTCGTGTGCGCGAGGCGTGGAGCCCGCGTTGAGGTGACATTTCTTCTTCCTCCCCGCGCTTATCCCTCCGTGACGCTTTTGGACCCCTCGAAGCGGCACGCGCTGCCTATACGACCGTGCGCGGGGAACAAGGAGTTTTTCTTTTTCGAGTGATATCTTTCTCTTTCGGGCTGTTCCCTGCACGCGTTCGACTGATTATCGTGGCTTTCCATCTCGTCCCGGGAAAGAGAGACGCGTGCGTAAAATCGGGGAGAGCACAACAGAGATCGGGGTCGTCGACCCGCCGCGTGCTTTGATACGGAAATTTTTAAAGTTCTGATAGAGAAAGAGAGAGGCGGGGAAACCTGTTGCTCCCGCGTAAAAAGGAGTTTGTTTGAACTCTCGACGCGAAATAATTTTTCTAATGTCAAGAGAACGACTTGACGTTGCCAAGAAATCGATCGGCTATTGTTATTGTTTGAGTAAGTGAGAAAAATAGTAGTTCAAGATAAAGCCTGAAACAATAAGGAAGTGAAAACACGACCGACCTGATACACAATCAATTAGAGAAAAACAACATTTTTACGATCAGGACTGGATCACGCCTAATATTATTCGTGTGAATTTTATGTACATTTTCAAGATTTATAAATATTTCTCAAATTAATGTATAAAATATTTATAATTTTAAAAATTGAACGAGACGAATATCGATTCCAAACTAGTTATTGATCAATCAATATCGCCGATAATTATATAGATGCTAACTGTAATTATTATGATCCTGTTTTTTTGTATGTAGTACTGAAAAGTAAGTTTTACGTTTAAATTTACATGTATTCCTCCGTAATTATCGGCGCAAAAAAAAAAAAAGGAAAGCTGCTTCACCAGCATTCAGGTCGTACGCGTTCATCGGAGCGGTGATACCCGCATAATTCAACCCGGCCGAAGATTAAAACCCGCATTTTTTCCCTCTGTGTTTGCAGACAGCCACCGGAAGCGGAATCGGCGACCAGTCCGAGCGAGGACGTCTGCTCGGAAGGTTCCGAGGTGGATTGGTCGTGGCTCGAGGAAGTGGAGTACCTGCGGGCCGCGGAGTCGCTCGCGGCCGCCGGTGAACGTGGGGCTGGCGAACAGGGGGGGCGGGCGAGCGCTGCTGCGGCCCCCACCCGCGGGAGCGCGGGGCGCAGGCGCGGCTGCGAGCATCGCGAAACGGCGACGGGCCGCAGTGTCGCGATGTCCGTCACCGCGACGGCAAAGTCCCTAGCGGGTGGCGGCGGCACGCGGTGGTCACCCTCCGGCGGCGCGCTTCTCCACGATCGTCAAAACAACGGTAACAACAATCGTCGCAGCGGCGGACGACATCGCCGGCATCGCAACGTTAACGACAACAATAACGACGGCGACGATGACGACGACGACGAGGCCGCGGCAGCCGCGCGTTGCAACGCCACAAACGAGGCGGTCGATCGTGAAAATCGCGACGGCGCGACGACGACGACCGCCGTCGCCGCCGTCACCAGCTCGGTCGCCGCCGCCGCGAACTCGTGGATGCGCGCGTCCATGCGGCGTCTGCGTCATCTGCGACTACCCGAGGGCACGCAGCGCGCCGGTACCGGTAATAACGAGCCGGCCAATCGGCGCGCGGTAGTCGTCTCGGCGCCGAATTCGTTGCCGGACATCGCGCTGATCGCACCGGAGATCCTCGCCGCGCAGACCAACGGCACCGGCACTTCCGGCACGCTGCTCCGACCGTTGAGCGCGCCCGCGAGGAACGCGGGCGCCGCGACGCCGCGCCGCGCCGCCGGTCGACAATTCGCCGGTGGAAGATCGAGGCGAGGCGCGCGTAATCGCGAGGTGTCGTCGCGGCAGGGCAGCCTCGGCTCCACGACCACGGCCAGCGACACCACCGCGTCCGGCAACACGACCTGCTCCAGCTCGTTCGGCGGGGCTTCCAGCAGCGCGCCTTCCAGCACGCCGACCAGCCCGCAGCGCACCGCTCCGAGAAGGTAAGTTTGCACGAATTTTGTACATAATTGCTGCGTCTCTTGCGTTGCGAAAGCTCGCGGATTTTCTTCCGATAAAGATGCAGACGGATCGTTCGTGCTACTCCAGGCGTAAGATTCTTCACAGACCTAACGCGGGAACGTTGCGAGACCGTTTTTGAAGAAAAGAGATAAAAAAAACTTCAAACAATGCGTAATACGTGTGACACGAAGAATTTTTAGCTCCTAATTTACGAGGTAACGGGGTTGCGCCATTCGCCAGATAGGCATCGATATAAACGCGAGGCGCGGGATAGTGATCTCAGCTTGAATATTCTTTGTCACGCTGGATGTGCAATATCCGGAGGAAACAAGTAAGGACAGACACCACGATGATCGATCAGGGTGTGTTCCAATACGTGGCAGACGCAATGATTTGAAGGATTCTTTTTAAATCCTTTTTTTTAAACGTGTAAAAAGTTCGATTTTTATGGCCGGCTGAATTTCTCCGGAGTCATCCCGTGTTCTTCTCTCTCGACCTTGCCTTAAGATCTCTTGCCGCATTCCCGCCGGAAGCGAGGGAACGTTAACGACTCGGTTGTTACACTTGCCGCTGCCCGTTCGAGCTTGACAATATACTCGCGCTTTGGCACCCTGTTTGCGCAATCGTGTCTAACGTCACTTCACGGTGTCCCGTCGTTAGGAAATTGGACTAGAAAATTTTCTACGCACGTCGCGGATTCCTCCTCCCCCGATTGTCCCCGATTAGACATGTCTCCACCTTGGAAATCAGTAATCTTTGCACGCTTTTTGTTCGGGCGGTCGACGTTCTTGCGGAGTTGGTACGTAATTGATTGGCAACGATATCAGAAACTGGATGTATTGACGATCCGTGAAGGACGCTACGCGTGTCTTGCTGTTTTGTACATCATAAATATTTCGACCCGCGCGCAAGAACAATTCGACTCGATCTACTGTTCAGTGAAACATAAATTCGATTTAAAAAAAGTAAATAAATAAAACGAATTGACCAGATCGACGAACTGGATAGAAAGTTCCTAACGATACAGAGATTTGCTTTATTAATAAATAACGAAAGAAAACTGTCATGAAAGATCGGCATCGATGTGCAAAGTATATGTAGAAACTTACAGTGGAAACGTAAAATGTTACAAAACTGTTTTTATATAGTTTTTTTTTTATCTAACGGTTTTTGACATGCGTCACCGGTTGTGTTGTCATACATCTCGACTGCAGGATTCGTTCGTCAGTCCGCAGTATGTCAGAACATCCCGTTTCGCCATCTCGCTTCCTCTCTCTCGTTTCTCTTTCAGATATTTCGAGCTACGTTCTATCAGTGACACTATATATCACTTTAACTCGTACAGTCGACAGAATCCGCGTTAAAACGCCGTTGATGGCGAACACGTGCTTAACCGGTCATTTTTAATTGTCCCGGAAATTAAGCAACACCGGTAACCCACATAAAATCCGATAATAATTTATCAGTTGCCCGGAGGATAACTGTAAATCATGCTCCGTTTCCCAACGATAGGCTTACGAGTCCCATTTACGATTGATACTAAATCGACGAACGGCGGAGTCTCGATATTACGCTCATATTCGTAACAGACACCTTGTCAGCGACTCTGATCAAACATAAGCCACGTGTGAAACGTAATTTATCGTGCCGAGATGAAACGGCAAATATTTATAATCCCGAAAGATTTACTGCCATTAGTCTTCCGAGTACTTTCTGTTGGTATCACACTTTGCTTTATTTATGATGTTATATAAAATTGTTCTTGGATGATAATAATGACGAGCGCGAGATATATCTTGATTCGCAAACGATTCGACGTCTCACGGGAAATAATTTTGCTCGAATCATATCTTAAAGAATGAAATTTAAACTAATACCTTTCAGTTAAATAACATTTTGCTATTTTTGACTACCATGTGTGCCGAAATTTATTATTTTAACATAAAACAGTATTATTTTAACTTCTTTGGTTTAATTAAATTAACGACATATAATTGAGTAAGGGCAGTGGCGACCTATAGAAATAAATAAATAAATAAATAAACTTTATTGTCTAACTAAATGGTTAATATAAGTATAATTTGACACTACGAATTGAACAGGGTATAACAGCCAAAATTTGAAGTATCGAACGCGGATAATATAAGCTCGTAACAATCCGATTGATCAATCAACTCGATTCGCCGTAAGGAATCGCGTGAGGTCGGAGATTTCGTCAAGACCGCGAGAGGGTCGACGATCTCGAGCGTCCAGAGATTGTTTCGCCGCCGATGAACCGTGTAACCTGTTGCGCAATCCGCTCTCCTGAGCAAGCAGCAAAATCTGTCGGGGATGACGGAAGGAGACGGCGACTTACTTACGCGCCGGTTTTTCCGCACGTGCACAGCGTGAGAATGTAAAGCATTGGCGACTCTCATAAACGTTTCATCGCGATGTCTATGTGCCTATCAGTAATTCGAGTTAATCAATAATTGGAGGCCGAGAACGACGAGAGATCTCTGGCTCTTACGATCGATGTACTCCAGCAAGAATAGCGCGTTCGACAAAGACTTCTCAAAGCCTTCAGACGTACCGCGAACCTATCGAAATATCGATGAAATCTCGATTTAGCAAGGTAGGCACGTGCGGAACACGGTTCATGCATCGAGCAGGATTAACAGGATCGACGGCCATCTGCGAAGCGCGCGCGACTCCTTTTCACCCGAGGCGGACGAGCGCGGTGATTTCGATCGGTTCGAGTTCCCGCGGAGTCCATAAAACGGCTTCCCCCTGTCAATGAACCGTGCCGAGCTGTTCCTGCCTTCGTGGAAGCCGCGATTATCCCGGTATATCGAGCTCTCGTCGATAGCGGAGAGCCCAAAGAATCCCCGATCGTTCCCTTCGGACGGTCGATCGTCGATCGCGAATTATACTCTCTTCTCATTAAGAATTTCAACGCGATTAAAAACGCGCCGTGATTATCCTCGTGTACCTCACGTTTCTGCAATTTAATCCGTCCCATATTTTCGTAGAATAATGAATCCTATATTTTCGAGGGATAACAAATCCGATTACGGCGTAGAGGAATAGTTGAAGAATACGTATGTTGGCGATATCCACGTTGAATCTTATTTCGATACCTACTGCAGGAATTATTTTTCATAATTATATCGAATATAATAGCGTTACGGAAAGATACCCCGTATCTCTGATTAATTTTTTAGAGTATTCGAAAATAAGCAAGTATTTGTAATATACGTGCTGTTGAAAATTGATATAATTTCTCCTCCGCGAAATTTTAATCGACTGCATCTCTTCCTGCGGTTTTTAAATTAATTTCGAAATAAAGTATCTTGATATATATCCGTATATTTCAAGACTATTAAGATAAAAGCTGAACATATGCGAGGCATTACGTATTCCAATTTATTTGCATTTGTAAAATCGCGTTTCGCGATGTGTGTCGGAACTTTTTTTTTTTTACAAGTCGAATGCCGTTCGTTTTTTGATGAAAGAACTCATTTTAGTTGTTCGATTCGGGGGAATGTCGGCGCGTGTAACAATTCGGCAATACGAGTATTGCCGAATGGTTTACGCGTTTAAAAAAAAAAAAGTATTTTGCGTTGTTCCTCTGGAAAACGTTTTGTGTAGAGGAATTTAAAAAATGTCGCTTGATATTTTCTCTGCAGCATCAGAGAAAAAGAAAGAGGAAGACATGGAGAGTGTATATTCACTCTCGAGGCTCTCGAGATTATCGCACGATACGAAAAGACGTTAATGAGAAATATGAATCGCGATACAATTACACGTATGCTAACAACGCGTTCTTTCGTAATTGCACGGATTCTTCTTCGACAATGGTCGTCGTATTTGGGTCAGTCGGTTGCTACGGGAGCAGGCAGTACCGGGTCGACGACGACGGTGCGCCGCCTCATGTAAGTTACCGTAACGGTATACCGACGTTATAGAGCCGTGAGGATATCGCGTTAGTGTTCTATAATCGTTGGGATAAATTCACCAAAGTGAGAGGAGCGAGCGCGACTTTACTCTCCACGTCGCGTTTAACGACATCCCTCGAGAATTCTAACTCCACAACGTACGAGGGACGAGGGAGAGATCTCTTTCTCATCCCTGCCGAGTCTCCGAGGTAATTTCCTAAAATAGCGAGATAATTCCGAAAATGGTCCTTTAAAATGAATTCCGATTCTGAACAGATTCTATTTATAATAGAATTTATTTATAATAGAATAATTTCATCAGAGAGAGGTACTCTCGTATCCGTCATTCCTTGAGAACGAACGCCACGCGGCACGTCGCGCTAGTCGAGATAGTCACGTTCGGTCGTTGCACTTAAATTCTTTGTGCATACTTACTTGCTTTTCCCGTCGCCTCTTCTCGGTAGTCCTATTGATCTCGGCGCGAGGGTCGTGTGTCGTGTCAACGCAAACGGCGGCACTCGCCTTTAGCGCGTATGCAGACAAGCTTGTAAATTCAAACGTGATTCACCTTTATAATCCAAGTCGTTATAATCTTGATTTATGTATTTATTTTGTCTCAAGATATATCCTTCAGAATGTTAAACTCTCTTATACAATCTGATCCTTTTCTAACGCTTGTTAAATAAAAAAATTGACGAAAAAGTCATTAGATATTAATAATTATCTCAGTGAGACTCAATTTTCTTTCTGATTTCGAAAAAAATGAGTTAAGTATGTGTTATCGATTGTTATTGAATAATTATTATCTAACAATCTTTTTCAATTTTTATTGGCAAATATTAAAATAAGGAATTTGGAGATTATATATGAGTTCTATGTTCTAAAAGATAAATAAAACATTTTGAGATAAATATGCACACACCTAAATGAAAATATGTGTTATTAACTCGATATGCTTCAAAACAATTTAGAATTCTTAAAATACAAAATTGTGCAAAATTAATAATGTGTTTTGTATTATATCGTTTATGCTTTTAAACACATTTTTGTAATAAAAGCGCGTAACAATAATGAAACAGAGTCCTGCTTAAAATTATAATGAACTTATTATTACGGAAAAAAAATCTCTTATTATATGTACGGTCATTGATGCAGAAACTTGTTTTTATCGAAACATCAGGAGTTTAGCTCGAGATTGAACTTTTAAGTAAACTTACAAAGG